ATAAATATCCCTATAGAAAATGTGATAAATAGGCCTTATGTGTTCTGTGTGAACGGCTTGGATTCAGTTTAAGCAACATCATCTCCGCATTGATGTTCTCTTTTTCCGCAATATTTTGAATGAACAACAATAAAAGACTAACAAAAGCATTAAAATGCAATGACTCTTGCGATCGTCGTCACATTTCGTGCGCCACTGATAAGGCTGCCTAGCACACACTAGGGCTATCAAAAAAGAAATTGAATTTTGAATATTCATCGAATTTCAAATAAAAATCCACATTCGAATGCAAAAACGTTGCAACGTTTTTGCATTTGAATGTGGATTTTTATTTTAAATTCAACAAATATTCGTAATTCAAATTTTTTTCTGACAGCCCTATTGTATATGGATAATCACATCTTTTGGTTTGTGTCTATCAAATTCAAAATAACGAGAATTTTTTTATTTTGTTGATTTAATTCAATTCAATTCAAGTTTACTTGAATAGCGCTTTTCACAATACAAATCGTTGCAAAGCAACTTTACAGCAAATAAGGTTTCTACAATATTTAGTAGTAGCTTATCAGTGGTGACTGTCAGTTAATAAACATATGGCAGAAATGTACGGAAAAATCAATTAAAGATATAATCAAACAGACGATGAACACTATTAACAGCAATTATTATATGATGCAATCAAACTTATAGCAAAATGTGGTAGTTCTGTATGTTGTTTCAGGGTTGGATTTCATCTGAGGTCCTCTGAGGGGTTGGCATCATCTCTTCTCAGCGTCGATACGTGGGAAGCGGTCCTGACACGATGATCGTCGTCGCGGGCGATGTGCTGCGCACCGTCTCGATCAGGCTCCTGAAGTCCCTCTTCAGTGTCTCCATCTGCCGCAGCTTGGTGTCGTTAACCCTGGCGTGAAGCACGACCGCTCCGGGCTCTCGTTGCCCTTCAGGATCGCGGGTATCTGCGCAGAAACAGCTATAGTTTTATATTAAGTTGTATAATATAAAAATGGACATATATGCCATATATATTTTTTGTTGTAGTTGAGAGCTCTGTTTGGTGTCACAACAGAAATTTTCGTTCTTACTGAGAACCTAACAATGAGAACATAGTATGTTATTAATATACAGCTAAAGGAGTGAAATTGTGGTCCAATGAAATGAACTTCAGTTTTGTGTGGATGTATACAACAAAATATTAAAAGGCAGATGACAGTTTCTCGTAACCGCTTCAGGGATCCGATCGGGCCAGTGGTTCAAATTTGTACTTGCCCTGCCAACATTTTCACTGGCACTGCCACAAAAATTAAAATAGTTGCTGTTATCATTGTTTTTGATCTGTTATCTTGTATTCTAATAAATAAGCTTATATGATGTTTTAGATACCAATTACATTTTACAATTCTCTATTTCAATTTCGATACCACAGCAAAAATCACTAGCCAAAAATAAACATAAATATAAAGTTTAAACATTATTAAAGTCAAGTGACAGCCAGTAAATAAGAACAAATGAGCAAATTACAAGTAATAGCACAATTAAATATAGGCCTATAGCACAAAAATAGAAATGAAATTATGCTTTAGGTTTTTATGCTTGTAGATGTTCAGGAACAGAAATTGAAAAATCACATATAAAATAACAATCTTCACTCTGTGTTGCACCTTGATTTTCCATAACCATTTGAAATTAGAGGCAACCACTGCATTTTAATCATGATTTGAAAAAAAGTGCAATGTTTGATTTATATTAGACTATAATTTCAAAATCTGAAGCAAAAACAGAATAACCTGACTTTAGCTTTGTGAAATTAAGCTACATAAAACATCTGTATGAAACGGAAACAGCAGACGAGCTGAATGAGACGCAGATTCACTCTCTGACAGCAGGTGGCGCTTATGGTACAGTGATACAGCGTTTCCTTGGTTACCGCTGTAAACACAGCAGCGCTGCGTGTATTAAAGGTGCAATGTGTAATATTTACATCGATCTATTGACAGAAATGCAATAGAATATACATAACTATGTTTTCAGAGGTGTATAAAGACCTTACTTAATGAACCGTTATGTTTTTATTACCTTAGATCGGGGGTTTTCAAACTTTTAGGACATGCGCCCCCCCCTTTATTAGGTTACTTTATTAATATTAACATAAAATCAAATATCCATTAAAGCTATTAAAGCAGCGAACAATTTTTCTTTTGCTCTTTTTGATTAACATTATTTACATAAGAAATGCACGGATCCGTTATATTGATGTATATTTGATATTTTCTTTACTGTTTACATTCACTTAAAACAACCGACTGTGCTTACAAGGATACTTGTCAAGACAGCCATTGGTATTCACCTGCTGTCTGAGAAGGCTATCTGTTTGTGCACTTCTGGTGTGTAAGCGGTGCGCATAAAAACGCTCTATCACAGTGCGAGTCTTGGGCTTAAATGGCTTAAAATTACTTTAATGTTTAAACTGACAAGACTTAAAACACGTGAGAATGAAAAACTTTCTCGAGGAAGCAGCACTGGCCTGACCGTTAAGATAGTTTTGGGGGGCTAAGGTGACAGATAGGGGGGCTGAAACCCACCTAAAAAGGGTTTAGAACCGCCCCTGGTATAGCGTGTGTAATTATACTGAAACCTGAAAACTTACCTGATTCAATGTGATGGCTGAGCCTGTTTCTGAGATAACAACATGCCAATCCGTGGTTGGATTTCCGACACGGCTAATCGTAAATCATCTAACACTGTCAATATGCGTGACCAGGGTTGCCAGGTTTTCACAACAAAACCCGCCTAATTGCTACTCAAAACTAGCCCAAAACTACAAAACGCGGCAAGTGTTAAAGTAGCCCAATTCCGCGGGAAAACCGCGGACTTGGCAACACTGACTCGAGCCAACTCTGCTCTAACTGTCGACTAGCAGTGGGAGTCAGATCGCCCCCTAGTGGATGGCTAAAGATTTGTTAACTCATATTCATAAATTCTCAAGAGAACGTCTCTGAATTAACTGATGCTCGCGCCCCCCTTGACAGGTGCTGGGGTGCGCCCCACAGGTTGAAAACCCCTGCCTTAGATTGAGCAATTTATATCTACATGCACCGCGGGTTCCCTTACATGGAAGTCGCCACCATGTTTCTACAGTAGCCCAAAATGGACAAACTGCTCTACACAGCGCATTTCGTCACTTTGTTGTTCTTGCGAATAAAACACTGACACAATGATGAACAAGTACATTAATATTCGCAATAACATCGATTTATGAAATAATTAAGTAAATATAATTCCTTAATTTACCTTTGTAAAGAAATCTCATTGCTCTCTGCTGTCTTTACCGACGACATCTTAGTCCTGTATCGGCCACCGTAGCTTCTCTAAAGGGAGGGGTGAGCGGGGGGCATCATATGACCCCTTTAACAAGTCTTAAAAACACATGCAAATAATAAAATGTCGTGACGACGCTGCAGTGGCCCAATCGGCCAAGTGACAAATCCGTCTACTGTCCCGAACGTCTTTCACGCTGGCCCCGGGGCCATCGGGCAGTCCTTATTGTCAAGCCCTGAGTTTGTTAGAGAAGTCAGTTTAATGTGGAAGAGAAGTTTTATTGCTTGCATGGACAGAGTGTTGGAGTGAAAGTGGGAGAGCGACAGGCAGCGGAGATGTATATTGCTCAGGACAGGGAGTTCCTCAGTGTGGCATGTTCAGCAGCGGCGCGTGTAGCGCAAATGGCTGCAGGCTCACATTAGTGATGGTGGGGGATGGGCCGGTTTACACACGCCACTGGAGGAGCTCTGATCAGACGCTCCGCTGCAGAACCATGCTGTGAAAGCATCACTGAAAAGTGCTCTATGTAACTCAGGTTTAATGCAGTTATTCATCTACATGCACTTCGTTTAGTAGCAGTAAATGATAGATTAAAGTTGGTGTGAAATTAAAATTCATGTTTTTTTATAAATGCAAATTATAGATCATATTGCGAACAATTCATCCTTGTGTGTTTCTTTAAAGAAAAAAGTTAAATGGAAATGCTATTTTTTGTTTTATTATTTTAAAATGCTCCACAATTCATAATCGTTAATCCTCTAATGAACCTGCTCCATTTTATTTCTATTGGTGGATGACATCCGAGATATTTTTATATTTTTTACATTATTTTGAAGTAACTTGAGCATTAAACAGGTATTATTTTAGCATAAAAAATTACACTGCTGATGCAAAATATTACACTACTGTTCAAAAGCTGGGGGTCAGCAAATTTTTTAATGGAAATTAAAAGTTTTATTCAGCAAGGGCAAATTAAATTGATCAAAAGTGACAGTAAATACATTTATGATGTTAAGAAAATGCCTTTCAAATGAATGCAGTTTTTTTTTTAAACTTTCTATTCAACAAAGAATCCTAAATCCTGTTTTTAACATTGTTAATAATGAGAAATGTTTCTTGAGTAAATCTAGCTTTGCCTTTACATTTTAAAATATATTCAAATAGAAAACAGTTGCTTTACATTGTTAAATTATTTCACAATATCACTGTTTACTTTTTGATCAAATAAATCCAGCCTTCGTGAGCATAAGAGGAAAATTTATTTAAAAATCTTACCAACCCCAAACTTCTGAACAATAGTGTATATTATCTAAAAGTTTAAATATTGTATCATCAGTGCATCTTTGGTTTGGTGTTTTTATGAAGAGCAGACACTGTTTTTCTCATTCTCAAGCTCTCCCCTAAAGGCAAATTGGTCTCTACTGCTCGTACGTGAGCGGGCGGATGTCACTGAGCAGCTGATGACAGTATCTTTTAGTACACTCTTTGACCTATGAATGTTTGGCTCGACAGTGTCTACGCTACACTGGCAGAGACCAGGACCTTGTGCCTGTGTAACGCCTTGCCTGCTCTCCATGAATTTAAATTGAAACGCTACACTGGCAGCCCTTTTGAGCCACTGTTTCATGAAAATTCGGTGAGGTTCACAGATGCTGATGGTCTTTTTTTTTTTTTATCCTCCATAGATGGGTCTTGCAACCGCTAACGGCACGTTCGGGCAGCAGTACGCACAGGGTTCGGTCCAGCAGATGTCCGGCGCTGGATTAAATGCTCAGATCCAGAACAAGGCAGCTCTTCCCAACAGCCTCCAGCCTACCCTGAAGGGTGCTTCCAGCGTGCCAAATCTGGTGAGTAACCCTCCACAGCTGGCTCCGGTTCAGTCCAGAACACTTCAGGTCTCTCTTGTCTCTGCGTCACGCATCTATTCAGCAGCTATTTATTCTTTCGAGGAGCTAATTGAAGTGCGTGTTTACACGCGACAGAATATGAAGCAAAGAGTGGATAATCTGGCTAAATGAAGTCTAAAGCCCCGTTTCCACTGCAGGATCTTTACCCAGGAACTAGGAACTTTGGGCCGGTACTCGGTGTGTTTCCACCGCAGGAACCAGGATCTAAATAAAGTTCTGGGTAAATATTTGCCCCTCAGAAAGTCCCTGCTCGCGAGGTAGTACTTTTTCAAAGGTCCGGAACTTTCTGACTGACGTTATCAAGTACGCTGCTCTTTGCAGAATTACCGGACTTGCATCGTCCCGTCCGCGGGAGTTCACACTCCCGAGTCGAACTTGTGAAGTCTGAACTACCGAGGATGCAAATTCTGAAATTTGCGTACTTTGTATTGAGAAACGCGTGCAGACCTACGTCACCAGACAATTTGCCTAATCTTCTCAGTACTTTAGACCGCGATGGAAATGGAGACAGCAACAGGTCTGGGGAATAAAGCTCCTGGGACAAATTGTTCCAGGTAATTTCGGTGGAAAAGCGGCTTAAAATTGTGTTTGAACAGTCATATCTGAAAATTAATCTAGACTGCTCCGGCATTGTGTAATTAGGTCAACAAAGTATATTTATTTTAATTTGCTTTATTTTCTTACTTTTCTTTTTTTTTTAACTGAATAGTTTGAGGTCAGTAAGAATTTTTTTTACATTTTTCATTAATTAAAGGGTGCATAAATACGTTAATTGATTTCTGAAGGATTATGTGACACTGAAGACTGGTGTAATGATGTTGTAAATTCAGCTTTGCATCACAGGAATGAATTACATTTTAAAATGTTCAAATTAAAAACAGGTATTTTAAATTGCAATAATATTTCACAGTATTACTGAGTTGTGGCTGGACAGTTTACAAATAAGAACTGTTAAAACAATTCTGTGTTGTTGAAGCCAAGAGGATAGAGCACATTGTTTTGATTAAGGTGTAAAATGGACGCTTGACACCTCAGCGAATAAAATCACAACTTCACAGCCTCTCGTGGCTTGAGGCTTTATCTAACCAACTGAGAATATTTAGAAAGATTTGTTTCTTTATATAATAACAACTGAAATGGAGCTTCTGTCTAATCGAAACTCTTCCCTCCAGCTGCAGCAGCAGGTGCCCTTGGTGGGCATGGTCCCGGGACAGGGGGTGTCGGCCGGCCCCACGGCCGACCCAGAGAAGCGCAAACTGATCCAGCAGCAGCTGGTCCTGCTGCTTCATGCCCACAAGTGCCAGCGGCGAGAGCAGGCCAATGGCGAGGTGCGCGCCTGCGCCCTGCCCCACTGCCGCACCATGAAGAACGTCCTCAACCACATGACCCACTGCCAGGCGGGGAAGTCCTGCCAAGGTGAGAGGCAAAATGAGACCAGTTATGTTAATATATAACTGGACTCCGGCACTTTACCCCAAGCTCTGAATTTTATAGAAATCATGGTCTGTCATGTGCCATCTCTGAGTCGATCTGAAAGTGCTTGTGTATTCCTCCGTCTCTCTTTGTCCACAACCATATTTCGGTGATGACTTTACATCTCAGTGTTAAACTGTCTGGCAGGGCACTCAGGCTTCATGTAAACTTGGGAAGTCAATCATGGCTCTTGTGGTCTCACTGTCTATGTATGAAGGATTCTGGAACGTCGAAACCCCTTTTATTCCTTGACATGATTTCGTTTGGGCGGAGTGTTTTATTACGGTGTGAAAAACAAATGTCAAGAAGTCTTGCTCGTCAAGAGTGTTATGTCTGATTTATTAGTTGTGCTTGTTAAGATGAGCATGATTATTTATATCACTCTTGAATACTTGGCTTACACTGCAGGAGGGACCTTAATATCATAAGCCATTTTTCAGCACCCATTCTGGACCCAATTTGCACATTTCCACAGCAGAAACTGAGATGGAAAAACTGTTTAAATAACCAAGTTGTCGCAAAACTACATTGCTTCCATTATAATCAACCTCGCTACATTGGAAATGTGCAGTTTGACACAAATTAGTTCTATTTCTGTATATCTGTGTTGTCTTGCACAAAAGCTCTCGTCAATTTGTTTAAACTAATATGATTTTTAATTGCAAATATAATGTAAATAGTTTTCTTTGAATTTTGATTGCTAGTAGATAAAACGGTTAATACAAACTTAATGACGGCCCAGTAACATAGTAAACACTTATCTACCTGCAAACTTGTTGCCTTTCTTTTCGAAATTCGCTGTTAAGATGTTGAAATAAGCCATTCATGTGATGGGTGCAAATCTGAGTTGTTTTTATGTGAATGGACATCTGAAGAGTACTGTCTGTCTTTAGAAAAGTTTTGATGGTATTAGGCAGCTCAGCACTGCTTTGTGTACGGGGTAACCGCTGTCTTTCTGATTTTCCATAAGTGCCACCTAGAGTCAGAGTGTGAATTTGCATTTTCATTCAGCCCACCTACCGTTTTTCTTCAGACCAATTACATATAACATACTTAATTTTTTTGTTCAGCTGAAATGTAACGTTTATAATTTGATAAAACTTTTGATCAAAAACCTGTATGAGTTGAAGTGTGAAGTTGTTAAATTCATAGTTCTTTCCATAATTTTAGTTTAGGATGTTACCGTAGACATGGGTGGTGGTTCAAAACAATGTTGCTACCTAAACATGTCATTTTATTCTAATGTCAGAATTGTCCAAAAGTGATTTCAAGATTCCAAGTTTTTGAAGAAAAATTCCCCATTTCCCCAGTAATCAACCACCCTGTAACGTCCCCAGCAACCGTATAGGCGATCATTGTTCATAATTTTTATTCAGGTTTTTATTCATCAGGTTTTTCGAATTCTTTTAAGTGTGTGATTGCTCAGTATTGTAATTTTTTTATGATTTTCTCCGTTTCCACAGTGGCTCACTGTGCCTCCTCTAGACAGATCATCTCGCACTGGAAGAACTGCACCCGGCACGACTGCCCCGTCTGTCTGCCCCTGAAAAACGCCAGTGACAAGAGAAACCAGCAGCGTAAGTCGTACTCTCATTTAAAATAAACCACCTGCACCGATACATTCTCTGCATGCATACCTGCAAACTAGGGCTGGGCGATATGGGCAAAAAAATCGTATCTCTGTATTTTTTGGCCGATTTGCGATATACGGTATATATCTCTGTATTTTTGTTTTTAATCTGTATTTAATATATATATATATATATTTCACTTACTGCCCAATGTTGTCCAACAAAACAATACATATTAAAGGCTGTGAAAACAAATAAAGTGAATGTAACCATGTGAGCCTTTGTGCAAAAAAGGGTTAAAATCACATTTCGTTCTAACATTGCAATCTAAAAACAAAAATAAGGCTTTTAAAGCGGAAGTTAAATTCACTAAACTAAAAATGAAAATAAATCAGAACAAAAGCACAGAATTGTGTTAGGCTATTTTGATTACCCCACAGGGCTCGCAAAATCGCTAGCCTGACATCCCAGGGCTATTGTGTTTTCCAGTCGGGCTACCAAAATGTTTTACCACCCTGCCCGACGGGCTATCTTGAACAGTGATATAAAATTCCTTGCTTGATTTGCGTTGTGCACTAGCTTGTACGGGTAACGGCCTTTCCACACTGAGCGTGAAAAAACAAAACCAATATCGGACGCGATGACGTTCTGGAATAAAACAATAGATTTCTATGGATGCTTCCACATAGACCGCGAACATTCACGCCCCGAAAATGCGAATTGTTTTTTTTCCAAACCAGTCTGACGAATCTTTTTTCAGTTTCGCAAAGCGAAAACACGGGCCGTCCAATAAGATTTGAGCTAGGATCACGTGACTGGAGCAGCTGCTGTTGTACAAAAAGGCAAGAGTGGTGGCGCGGTTTCGAAAACCAGTGTAAACAAACACAGAAGAAGTGTATCCCGGACAAGAGAAGAGAGTGGATGCTGAGTTCTTGTTATCGTTGGTATTTGAGAACAAATTTATTCTCACATGTTCTTTATACAGAATAACATTTCTATTAATTGTCCACTGAATTATGTGATAACAGTAGAGCACTGTCCGTTTTCTTCCACGTGCGCGAGCGTGTTATGAGTCAGAGTGCGTCCACTCTTTTTCTACACATGAAATATGAAAGCAAATAGACATGATTATGACGATATATTTTCTGTATGTGTTTTGTATGCAGCTCATGGTATTTTT